TGAAGTCTCCATTAAAAAGTGTCCGAATAATGTGCTAATTAGAAATGTCGACTACGATTAGTTTATCATAAACAAATTAAAAACGAAAATCAGAAATTTTCGTTTTTTTGTCATATCTTCAAAAGTATTGAAGATATTTCAAATTTATTTTCAGATTCTTATTCAGCACGGAAATTTGCAACTTTGCCCCCATTTAACCAACTTTCTATCTCTTAAGATAAGTGAGATCCCCATAGTGGCACTCGAAAAATGGACACGGTGTATAATATTTTTTGACAAAAAAATCAGTTACCGGATGAAACCGGGTTTTTCAGGCAGGTGAAATGAAAAGAAATTGGGGAAAAATAATTAAAACAGCTGAATCTTTCCGCGGGTGAAATCACGGGGGTTGAAAGGGGTGGAAAGTGGTGTTTTGCAAATTGTGGCAAAACTATTAATTTTAGACGAAAATGCTAAATATAAAAGTTATAGAGATTAAAAAAATGAGCAACTTTTGTATCTGCACTATTTTCACATAACCTCCAATTTTCTTAGAAAAACCGGAAAAACTGTTTTTTTCGTTTTTTATTCTTATTTTTGCGAAAAAATGTCGTCGGGGTTTGAAATTTGGAGGAAACATAGCTTGTTATATGATAAAAAAGAAGATAATTTGGGCCTGTAAAGTTGAACCGTTTCCAAGATCTCACGATTTCTGAAAAACAACACCTCTTTTCGAGGGGATGAAAAATCTATTTTTTTTCATCGTACAGAGGTGTGCGGGGTAGCAAAATTTTCGGGAAGACTTATATTTTAATAAACAAAAATAAACAAATATTATTCCTATAGCAAAAATTCGAGAAAATCGCCATAAACTGGAAAAACAGTTTTAAGATATAGACGGTTTTTGCCATGATAAATCAACATGTTGGATGCTAATAAAGATTTTTTCGAAATCTGTCTTCTTGCTTCTTTAATGTTTGCTTAAATATTCTCTTTTGTTATATTGTGCTCAACTGTTTTAGTTAAAACATCTTTATTATTTATTTTTTCTGCAATAAAAGCAATTCGAAATAAAATCGGATTATCTTGCTTCCTGATCCCTGAACAATCTCTTTTTGTTCACTGACTCTTCTTCCTGCCTGTTTTATAGCTGATGCAATTGCGTTGGGCCTGTTGAAAACTTGCAAAGTCGGAAATAAGAACGTTAGTTTTACCGGCCATTGACCAAAGCAAATGATTTGAGATGTCAAACCTGGAATAAACTTTATGAGGATTTTATTCATAATTCCTATAAAACGATCAACAGGACCAGCTTAATCCCATAAGCTGTAAAACAGGCAGGAAGAAGAGTTATTCAACAAAAACAAATTGTTCGGTAAGCAACAGAATTCGATTTTACTTCGAATTGCTTTTATTGCGGCAAAAATGCAGAAAAAATAAATAATAAAGATGTTTTAACTAAGGCAGTTGGACACTGGGAAATAAAAGAACATATTTTAGCAACATTAAAGAGGGGAGAGAAGACAGATTTCAAAATCTTTTTATTAGCGCGGATCCAATACGTTAATTTATTTGCAAGAAAAGCTATTTACCTACTATCAAAAACGGTACCTATATCTTAAAACTGTTCCCCACGTTTTTGCCGCTTTTCTTAAAATTGTTCTATTGGAATAATATTTTTGATTTTTGATTATTAAAATATAAGTCGTTACGAAAATTTTGCTACCCCACGCACCTCTGTACGATGAAAAAAAATAGAATTTTTATCCCCTTGAAAAATAGGTCGTTTTTTTCAGAAATCGTGAGATCTTGGAAACGGTTCAACTTTACAGGACCAAAAAATTATCTTCTTTTTTATCATAAAACAAGCTATGTTTCCTCCAAATTTCAAACCCCTGCGACATTTTTTCGCAAAAATAAGAATAAAAAACGAAAAAAACAATTTTGCCGGTTTTACTAGGAAAATTGGAGGTTATGTGAAAATAGTGTACATACAAAAGTTGCTCATTTTTTTAATCTCTATAACTTTTACATTTAACATTTTCGTCTAAAATTAATAGTTTTGCCACAATTTGCAAAACACCACTTTCCACCCCTTTCAACCGCCGTGATTTCACCCGCGGAAAAATTCAGCTGTTTTAATTATTTTTTCCCAAATTCTATTCATTCCACCTACCTGAAAAACCCGGTTTCGCCCGGTAACTAATTTTTTTTGAAAATAAATTATTTTAGAGCTATTTAGCCTGGACTATTATGGCAGCTAAGACATATTGGAGAAACAAGTAAAAGAACAGATAACGCCATTAATTTATTGATTCTGCAGTAAAGACTTGATGTAAATGGAATTTTTTAGTAGTTATTGCTATTAATTTTAACAATTTTGATGGTAATCCAAAAGTGTGGGAAAATTCTTTGAAAAAAGTGGTAATTGTTCCGCGAGCACCAACAAGTAGTCCCATGCTGGGGGGTAGTCCTTAAAAAGGATTACTGCACCTCTATCCTTATGTGTCAATTTAGTCCAATTAATGTATTCTTGATCTTGTAAAAAGGATATTATATACTTTACGGGCTTGTTCAGGAAGACTTCATCCATTAAATTAAGCTTTTTCAAACATAATTTCTTTTCATCTTCCAAATTTCTTTTTTTATAATAATTTCTTCATTAGAAAATTGCAGACGATTATATTAATGTGTTGTAAATAAGCCTCCCAACCAGCGTAAAACAATTGGAGACCTTTTATATTTTTTTATGCATATATCATTGCATTTGGTAAGTCAGAAGGAAGGTCTAACATTTCTTTTAAAGCACAGCGAACCATTTTGTCAATGTCATTAAGAAATTCATTGTGCAACGTAATTAATTGCAGTTTGGAAGTTGTATGTTAAAGTGGGTCAAATATAGGAAATCAGAATTGTTAACTTTTGAAAATCCTTAAGAAAATGGTGGGAAATAACGGTATCCAGCTTTGTTCCCAATTTTTTAATGATTTCTGGTGGATTAAAGGTAATCTAGTTATTAAAATTGACTCCTAAATATTTTATAGTTTCATTTCTGTTCAGAGATTTAATTAATAATCCATTTAAGTTAATCTCTTCTTCAAACAATTTGCGTTAATATTTATAATTTTGGTTTTCTTAACATTTAAATTCAATCCAATTGCACAAAATAGATGAATAGCGGTTTCATAAAATATCATAGCGGATTCTTTTGATTTCCCAATCAATACTGTGTCATCAGCAAATCCTAAGTTGATTCCTTTAGTAAATTAAAGAAAACACAATTCTTCGTCGATCAAAAGATGAACAAACAAAATCGGTCCAATAGAAAATTTTTTACAAGCGACCAAAGAAATCCCTTAAGCTCCCCGTCAATTCCACGGAAATCCCTGAAATCGGATAAAATTTCTTATAAATCCTCAGAAATCCTTTCGAAATCTTCTTAAATTCTTCCCCATACTTGCTTTTGACACTCCAGTCCAATACTTTACTAATACCGCCGCTTGTCACGCACCTTCTCACAGGTATTATAAATTAATAACAATATTTTCGGTTGTTATATTTCAAATACTGCGTGGCAATATTGAGTAAAACAATTAGAAGCTAACGTTTATTTTTGAACGAGCCAAAGAAAGCTATTTCAGTGACAAAATAATGCAATTGGAAGGTAGACAAGGAAACTCAGATTTTGAGTTTTTCCATGTGAGAATGGAAATTAATTTAGAACACAATCTCATGGGTTAAAAAATTGTAGTTCACATTTCATATTTTATCAGGAACGACTTCATTCGGTACGGCAAAACAATTATTGAAAGGTAAAAGTGACCGCACGTGCAGATAAGCGCATCAGGTGATTAATCTCTACCTGCTTACGTTACCGTCCCTCCATCAAAAATATAACTTATAACCAAATCATTCGATCGTGTTAACGTAAAGTGCAGTGCATCTTGTGCGGAATGGTCTCCAAAAATTCCAAATGGTTCGAAGGAGAGTGCCTAGTACCGAAAGTAAGAAGCTAAGGGTGAATTTGACAAGCACAGATTAGGTACCGCGTAACATGCAGTAAGTAATTTGGATTTTTACATTTAAACATTGGGCATACCATGAAAAATGATTTTGGAGTTGGACAATAGGTGAAGGGTGACTAAATATTGTGTATGGAAATTTACCTCCACACATGTAACTGCCGTTAGTTTCAATCAATCATTTTCCAAATCAAAAATTTATACACGACAATTACAATCATCTTATCTATCCAAGTCTAAAGTTGGACATGCGTAGTCCATTGCGTCGGCGGCGTCGGCATTTTAAACAGGTGTTTAGAAATCTGTTGATAATTTAATTCTTAACAAAAACCACACTTGCCTTTTTATTAGCTTTAATTGTAATTGTCGCAAAATTGTCCCCAAAATAGAGTCTGTTTCGTTTTCAAATGGCCACCCTCTATAAGTTAAGTATCTTGTTAACAGTGCCTTGTATAACAGTGTAAACGTTGAACAGGCAAACGCCTAAATAAATAAATAGAAGAAAAATTGAAAAAAGTTACAACCATACAAATTATGTGCATAATTATGGCACACAATTTTGGGGACTCCATATAATAGGGGTTGGTGCGACGTAAGTTGTGACCTCAATATAGTGGTTGAAAATTTTATGCTTACGATACAAATTAGAACAAAATTATGACACGAAAATTTGTATGAATTTGTATACTCGGGGCAACTCCAAAATTGATTTGAAGGTAATGGTACAAAATTTGTTACGCTAAAAATTAGTACAAAATGAGTACAAAATTATATGGGAAATCTGTATACTTGGGGTTATGGCGTGAAGTTGCAGCCCCACTGTAGATTTGATGAATTCGGGGAAATGGCATATCGCTCAGAATACTAGTTGTACGTTCTTACGGAGATTTTTATATTTTGGATTACGGACTCAAATAGGGACCGGAGGAAGAATGAATGGTAATGTAGGAAACGTGTTTGAGAACTATATCTCGGCAACTAGAACGAATAAGTACTTACTTAACAAAACTAAGGTACTGAGAGATGTCATATCAAAAATTTCAATATCTTCGTCTATGGTATCAAACTGCTGCGTTGAATACGGTTCATCCAGATCAACAACGTGGAAGGCATCGTCGTATTCACACCTAAAAAAATCCACACGTAGGGAAAATACCCATTGCCGAGAAATATTCCAAGTTTTAAAGAATACGTACTGGACCATTTTCTGAATTACTGACGAGGGCTTCAAATTCAAAATTAAAGTACCTAAGTACTTACTCATTACAACTGTCCTCCATTATAATTATCAGTTTATATAGTTTCCTATATACATATGCATGTATATAACTCACTCAATAAACGTAGGTAATCGCACAACTAAATCAAAAGTGTAATTTTCTCAATAATCGGGCAAAGATAAATTATAGATAAGGATTTAATTCAATCGCTTTACAGCAGTAGCATACTCAAAGGTTATGATGATAATTTTTAATAGCTCGACAATGAGTTAATTTCGAAACAAAATTGGAATGCAAAATCAAGTAAAAATTTGTTACTTACTTATTGATGTGAATTTAAGAAGTAAAGGTCACTTGCTTCTTGTTGGTAATTCAATATGTAAATAAGCAATACGAGACTTGTAAGAGTTCCCCTCTTCTTCGTCGGTTAAAGTTCATTGCTTTGTTTGAGAGATAATTAACAGTTGGGGGGGAAACCTGACAATAATTATGCAATCCAGCCCAATTTCTTTATTTGGAATTTTCTAAAACATTTACAAAATAACCTAACGACAATTATGTATTGCACATTTAACGTAACCTTAATATAACTTTACGATAACATTTAAGACTATTTTTATTTGCTTTTTTTTTAGCTTTCGTCACTAAAATTACGATAATGTACATAAATATATTAATGTATGTATACGTAATTCACAGTTAATAGAAGGAAAGATTAGCCTAATCGTATGTGCTTAGTTGTTACCGTTGTTGTGCATTTCTTGCGATCTCCTATATGATTGTAGCTGAAACAAAAGACATTGTTAGAACAAATTTTCCAAAAAGTAACCCCCCCCCCCCATGGCGACTGAAAATTTTTGAAAATTTAATATTTGCGAATGTCAACGATGCCACTTGTTTTGACAATCTAGAAGCAAGGAATATTTATTCTTTCATATACAACATTTGAGGAAAATTGTAGCTTTAGTAGCTGTATAATACATAAATAACACTCCCAGACTAATTTTTGGGTTTTAAAGTATGACCAGACCTCCCCCCCCCTTCGGCTCGGGTTAATTTTCAAAATATTCGCGAGCTCGAACAAATTTGTAGAATAATTCAAGCACTAGTGGTATTACATGTGAGAATCTATTAAATTTAATACGAAGTAAGAATATTTTATTTGGATTTTTACAACTCGACAATTATTTCAATTAATTTTTTTAAAACGATTGCTCTGATCTTAATGATTAAAGTTTTCGACACATTTTTCATATTTTCCCTTGGATTTTAAAGGTACTAAATTTTCAATTGCCTCTCTGGCCTTTTGCTAGAAATTTCAGAGTTTTCTGAAATGTCCATTTTGTCGCTTCGTTTGAACTTTTTGCACAACGGTTTCACAGCTTGTTTATTTGGTTGTTACGGACAAACCGTTGTTATGGTAATTATATTATATAATACCGGCTAAAATGATTATATTTTCAAATAAAAGTAGCAATTTTAAACTAGACTTTGTGGATCAAATTTTGATTAATATCTTTTAAATCCGAAAAAAACAGCATGTTCTACACGTAAGAAAAGTGGTTTTCCAGCTCGTGAAAAATGCAACTATTTTCACTCACTGGAAAACTGTCACTTTTCTTTACTTGTAGAACAATCTACTATTTTTTCTATTTGCCACCCCTGGTTACAGGTCTGACTCTGAAACAAAGTGCGGTAAGAAAGCCAACGCAATAACAAGGGGTGGCATAATGACTGACATTCCCAATCCAAATGCCGAAAAAAATATCTATCCCGATAAATTTGACTAGATCGCCTGAAATTTATAAACACAATTTGTTGAATCTGGATTTGAAAAGTTAATAACCTGTCAAACGGTTAGTAGCAAAAATCGACATTTCGCAATTCTACCCTTATTTGCTGGTGAATTGCTGTGTGTCAGATGTTAAAAATGCATGATTCAATGAAATGTTAATCAAGGGCAGCTTTTTTAGTTAGGGTTTAGAATGATTGCTATCAATTAGGTGAAAATTAAGTGGTTTTATGTCAATTTTAACGGTCTTAGGCTTGGTAATCTCGTTCCAACATGAAAGTAAAACTTGTCCAAACTCATCCACGAAGTTACAAAGTCAATAACTTAATTTCGATTTATACATTTTCTCGATAATGTTTTTAACTTAAGCTGATATTAGCAATATAAAGTAATTAAATTAAAACCCAAGAGTAACTCGTTTTATTACGGAATATTTAATCCACAAGGTTTGTAGTGAACATTGAATTTAATTTTATTGTAACAGGAAGCCTAAGGTAACTATGAAATAGAAAAGTGACCCTTACCCATTGTCGAAAGAACGGTGAAATATTGTAAAGTTCCTGTAGCGAAATTCTTCTCTCTGTGTCGCTTCCAATATCACCTCGCGGTCCCGTAAAGATCAGCCCTGGGTTGCTTTCTTGTTGCACGTCTTGAAGTACTTCATCATTTGTCATTAATTCCGAGGGGGACATCCTTTTCCCCATTCCACCGTAACACGAGTGTCCAAATGTTGCACAACCACCTGTACCAAAAATTGAATGGGTTAATGTATCTTAATTTGCAATTATTGTTCTTAATTTATTTTACAGTCTGTTTTAAATTAAGTCGGCACTATTGCTAACTTTCTTAGTTGTAAAGTTAGAATGATAGTTAAATTACCAAAATTGTGTATTTTCTTCTACTAAATCGAAATCTGCAATTAAAAAAATAAAACAGCATCGCATTTTTCGGATCATAACAAAAATTATGGATCACCATGTATATTATGAGATCATATCACACCCTTAATAAATTCTCTACAAAACCAAAATATTTCAAATAACCAGAATTTTTCAATTATTTTCATTTCAATCTAGTTACCCATAAAAATGACGTTGTGATAGTTCCAATATTGATATACGAGTCCCTTAAATCACAAACTATGGGTTTATTTTAAGACGAACTTTTTGCTGCTACAACCTTAGGAAAAATTTTGAAAATTATTGTAAAACAAGTTTGTATTTTTCAGAATTTAAAGAAACAATATGAATACTGGAGGATAAATTTAGGAACAATAAATTAGTGTGAACAAACAATGTCATTTTATCATTTTCATGGATAACTAGATCAAAATGAAAATAATTGAAAAATCTTGGTTATTTCAAGTATTTATTTATTTATTTGTAGACAATTTAATAAACAGTCACATACAGGGCGTTCCATATAAAGAAAGTAACATTTTTATTATTATCTGAAAAATGCCATGTTTTTTTAATTGCAGATTTGGATTTAGTAGAAAAAAATGCACAAAACAGGGGGAAGCTGGTTTTATCCTTCATGGTACATACTCTTATGGTGATCTCAACAAAAGAAATTAATTTCTATTAACTATAATCCTCCTCTTCGACCCCTTATCGTGATCGAATATAATTCCTTATACCTCAAGAACAGATTGTCGGAGGAGGGATTCACAAAGAGCGATTGGAACGTTTGGATGAAATACATCCATAGGTCAAAACCAGGGTCAAAACTTTAAGAGCGAATATCTTGAAAACGGTTTGTCGGAGCAAAGTACTCTCAAAGGCAACATGAATTGTCTGGACGAGACATTTCTCGCTCCCATATTGCGGTGACGATTTTATATACAGTGTGTCCCAGATCGGGTGGGATTGCATGTGTAACTTTCTTACTATTAAAGATAGAGAATTGGTTAAATTGACAATGTTTTGCAGTTTTAGATGCCTATTAAAAATTTCCTTGTGGAAATTCAAAATTCGACGTAAATTCAAAAATACTAAAATTAGTCATTCTTTAATGTCTTATATCATCGAAAGAATAAGAGACATAAAAAACAGTTTTATATAAAAGTTACTGTCTTTGACAAGCTTAATTTAGGATTGATGTAACCTTTGAGGAACATTGATCAACTTTCTAAAGTTAAATAGGCGCCATATTGAATTTTTGGATTATTTGATAGATTTTTTAATTCGCTTTTCAACGATCATAGCATAAGATTGAAAATAAGATACCAGTTACGTATATCAACGGTTTTTATATTTTAATCAAGTAGTCTGTGATGAATTAAAAAAAATCTGTTCGAGGCAACAAAACAATGAAAATAATTACTGTTGGAAAACCTTAAAATATACAGGGGGCCCCATTATGTATGGAATATAGTTTATATTTCGGTAAATATCGACTGTGTACAAAAGTTTTCTATATGAAAGTTGTTTAACATTTTATTTCCCATAATAAGGCAGTATTCCATTGTTTTTATTTCAAAAAACAGATTTTTTTTAGCACCCGTGTAGAAGAAATTAATTTTTCAAGTTTTTTGTGATAAGTTATGCCACTGCCTTGCAGTTAATGGTGAACATTTTGAGCATTCGATGAAAACCATTTTACTTGTCTTCAAGGTTTAATATCAAACGTATACGTTCATTTGTTTTATTTTAGTGTAGGATATAATAATAATAATAATAATAATAATGTTTATTTCCAATGAACATCATATAGTACAAAAGGAAAAAGAAAAAGTACATTCAGATTGGAAAAAGGACCACATTCAGTGCGATATACACTGCTCTTCCATGTGGCCCTATATCATGAGATATGAACTTGAACTAAACATGGTATATGGACAAATACATTAACACTCACACGCAAATCACTCCTCAGAACTTCCTAAACCAAAAATTTATGTTCAATACAGAAGCCCCTTAAGCCACAATAGAGAGTTGATCATCTAACAAAAGGAACTTTACTTGTCTTTTAAACGTAGTCATACTTAAACTACGTAGAGTTGGTGACAATTTATTAAAGATGTTTGCAACATTATAAGAAAACGATTTCTTAAAGAATTCGGTAGTATGCTTTGGAATCTCTAAAAGGCCCCTATGCCGAAGATTTAAGTTATGTACATCTGTACGATAGGTTAAACGTTGTGATATCTGGATTAATGTTATTCATCTAATTATAATAAATTTTTTTGAAACATTTTCTTGAATAAGGATACTATCATTAACATGTTATATCATCAAAAAGAGAACAAAAACCTCTATCAAATGAGCCTAATGAAAAGGTACACTGCCATTTAAAAAAGTTCAATTGTTTTTCGTTACTCATTTGTTTTATGAAATAAAAACAGCTGAATGCTGCCTTATTATGTGAAATTAAACAACTTTCATGTAGAAACATTTTATATACATCAGTCGATATTTACCGAGATATATACTATATTCTATACATAATGGGCACCCTGTATATCCCTGCTAGGGATTTACGTCAAGCGAAACTTTTCGCATACCGTTGGGTCAGGACTCATTCTCTACACAATCGACGAATTGAACGGATTATGCGTTCGGGGAATTCAGTCCCAAATTTGGATTTTTTTCGTTTGTCATTAATAAAGTTCAGAAAAGAGGCACAGCACTCTTTAGTAGATAAGGATGTAAACTTTTACCTAAGTGAATCTAAATTTTACTTCTGTATTTGTATTTTTTCGTAGATGTTCTGTACATTTACAGATTTATTATTTTTTATAATCTTAAAATAATGTATGTGTTTGTGTTTAAAATGTAATTGTTTTTGTTGTTGAATTTCTGAAACTGTAGGTACACCGAAATATGTTTGTGCTTTTGGGGTTATTCCCGTATTACATCATTAAATAAATAAATAAATAAATAAGTAAATAAAGGAACCATATAGTTAAGTTGAGTATCAACGTAACTGTGGAAATTAAAAAATTGAAGATCGTAACCAAAATCAAACAGACATGTAGTAAAAAGTAGAGGTCCAAGGATCGATCCTTGTGGTACTCCACGTGTTAAGAGAAGGAAGGAGGAATAACGATCTGGATCTTGGCTGAACGCAACTTTTTGAGAACGATCAACAATTAGATCAATCTCCCTTAACGTTACGGAACTAAATGATAAGAATGAGTTAATATTAGGGTGGAATGAATTAAAATACTGCTGAATTAAATTAGCATCAACCGTCAAGCCGTCGAATCGTGCATTCACAAGAAAATTATTTACCTTCTTCATAAGGAATTTAGGTACACTAACCTAATAGCTATTTGAAATCAGTTAAAGTTTTAATATATAGAGAAAATTTTTGTTTATTTGTGTGAAATTGTTAGATAATTGAAGATAGTTACTATTATTTCTACTAATTCCTTTCATTAATTTACAATCAATCAGACTGCAAGAATTAAACGAAAGTAATCTTAAATTTCCTAGTTTAGCTACTGTCATCCGAGAGTTTTAAATTAAGTGATATCATTATCCTAATTTGCCGACGACAGTGCCGTAATTATGTAATTTTGTGCAAACAACTACATGTACTTAAATATAGTCATATGAAGTTCATAAACTAGTTAATTTGTTCTGCTAGTAGGTACATCACCGTAAGTGGCCTAACTAATGTCCTTAGACGCTTTCGTTGTTAATTATAAAATTATGTGGGCAGGTCGATATTTCAATTTAGCAGCCTTGTGTATTGGGATATATATACTTTTAACGTTGTCAGTAGCTATCCTTCAAAAGTGCAGAGCATTATTCACTCTGGTGCTTCGAGTGGAAACTTTTGTCCACTCTTTTGGCGTGTTTGCTATATAGTTTCTTTTTACTGTAACTTGCAATGCTTTAAAAAAAACCAGCGAAAAACGACATAGGAAACTAAAACGTAACCCACTGGCGCATAAGTTCATTTATTGTCAGACTCTCGGTCAGACTCAGAAAGTGTCTAACTCGGGAGCGATGTAAAACTGTAATAAATATTTACTTAATTTAAGTATCATGCTTTCCAATAAACCACTACTGCTACTTTTAAAAACTGTTTCTCACAGTTAATAATCCTTTATACGTACATGCAGATCTCAGTAGAACTAGAACTCCCCTCAGATTTAAATTATATACTCGAAATGTTTCATTTGATTATATCTGTCCAGCGAGTTTCAACATGATTCACTGAATAAAATCAATTCCCATTATCTTTCCAGAATATAACGTTAAGTGGATATATCTTCCAATTTTGAATGTGTACCTGTATATTAAGTTGAAATTAAGCGCTGCCGCGAACAGAAACTTGATTAATTTGCAGATTGTTTTCTGTTATCAATATGGATTAAGTAGGAGGGAAAGCTAATTGTCTTACTATTAGCAAGTCGAAGTGGCTGGAATAAACTTTATTGAATAAAGTTTCTTAGACAAAGGGTACGCGTGATTTATTTCAAAAGGTATTTATAGATATACCTAAGAAAATGGGATTTTTTCATTACAAATAGAAGTCTTTACGAATTCGGTTGTAAATTGTTTGGTTTGTCTACCCTGGTGCTCGATCCGTGAAATAAAGTACGTAACTCGAAACTACATACATACATATTTTTAATAAACAGAAAAATACTCGTGTTAAATCTCGACAGGTCTTGAAGGCGTGGAAGGCATTAGAACATAGTTGGTTCTTCTTGGTCCAAGTGGTTAGGTAAATACTCAACACAGGGGTTAACTTAAAAGTTTAAATAAAAGGAAGTATCTGTCGGTC